AGAGGCTTGCTCCTTTCTGCAGTTTCAGCAGTCTCTGGAGTTGAGGAATTGCCTCTCAAGGGTGTTGGGGAGAGTGCAGGGAGGGTGGCTTTAGGCTACCCTTGTGGAAGAGGATGGGAATGGTGCAGTCTGTACATGATGTTGAATCAGGTCTCTGATCCCAGTGAGGATAAAACTTGACTAAATGCTGATACAGTATTGCACTGGGTCTCTTCTTATGCTAAATCTGAACCAGATCTAATAGTATCTCTTCCTTTGCAGGCTTCCAGAATGTTTCTCATTGTGATGTAAGTACTTGTTTTAATTTTGCAAGTATTAGCATTAAAAAATATGCCGAGAAGTGGAGTATTTAGCTGCATGTAAGCTGGAGAGGGAGGTGCAAGAGGACAGTGTCGGTTGCTGTTTGCGTTTTGCCAAAAGCAAAGGATGCTTAAGGGCAGAACTGCTAGATAAGGCCCAGCCTTGACAGGCTTGTTTGTGCTGAACTGCATGCCTGTGAGCTAATGAAGTTGTTCTGATAGCACCATTTGTGTATTTGCCCTCTTCCCTGTTGAAACCATGGCCCAAAGCTCTGGCCAGTGCCTGACAATGTGAGCTGCCTGTGTGATGAGATGTGACTGCCTTGACTTCAATCATGGAAGTCTGCAATTAGCTCTATCTGACTTCAGGCACCGGGCTAGCTTTTATCCTCTTGTGCTTGCTTGTGCCCTGTCCTGATAGTTTCCTTTGTTTCAGGGCTGGTGTGGTGGAGCTGGGAAGTGGTGCAGTTGGTAATGCTACCAGCAAAAGTGAGTTGCCAGCAAATGCATGTGACTGGTCAAACCTGTGTGATAGGTGATGGGGAAGTTACTGGATTCTGGCCTCTAAACTAGTGTCACCTCAGCACTAAACAGAAGGTTCCTTGATGATTTTCTTACCTCTGCTGGTAGATCACAAGTTACCAGCAGCTTGCAGGGTTCATTTACCCAGTGTGCCAGAGATTAAATCTCATGCTTTGTGGCCAAAGACAGTGATAAGATACAGTGATGATTGTAGGAGTAATGGACAAAAGTTTCCAGAAGTCTTCATGAGGCTTTAGAGTGACATCAGCACTGGCCTGGCACTTCATTTTTTCACATGTGAATCCTAGATTTAAGAATGGAAAAACTGCTGGATACTTTGACAAGATGCTTTGTACTTGGCAAGCTGCTTGCTTCTCAGTTGCCTCAAGACTTTTCTACTACTGAATAATGTTAACTGCTTTCTGTAACTAAAAAGAAATAGTATGGGCCAGTTGAAATAAGTGACTGCTATGGACTGCTTGAGTTTCTACTTGATAAGAGAAAGTGTGTTATAACCTGGCAGTGCAGAGGTTGTGCTTACCAAAGCCAGTACAGTTATTTGCTACTTAACTTTTACTGGTTAAATTAAGCAGTGGGCTTTTGCAGGGAGTAGCATTGATCTTAAATAGCTGGAGTAATGTAAATTATTTGTCTCAATGGCTACATAAGAGCTTTTACATGATGTGAATGAAGATGTGGTTGGGAGTAAGTTCTGAAATGCTGAGGCCAAGTCCTCAGAAGGAGAAACAAATGTAACAAAGATTTTCTAAGCATGTACTGTTTGTGATGATTAATTCTAAGCAATGGGAATCTCTCTGAAAGAGGCTGAGGAGAATCTTGCACTGAAACAGTACATGCATTCAAACTAACTCCTGAAGCACTGCCAAGAAGAATGTGTTAATAAAATTTCACTTGTTACAGAGTGAAGCTCATGGAGAGTGTGTGAGAAACAAGACTAACTTTTGTTTGAGGTAAGTGTAGAGTACATGGGGTTTGATAATTACTGGAATACTGTCTTTGTGCTAAATGCCTAGATAGCAGTGCCTAAAATTATTCCTATAACAAATCTGATTGGTTTTCCTTTTTTCTGTTTCTCCCACTCAGCTACTGTGGGAATAAACATGATGTGCTTGCAGCAAGAAAGCACTTTGTAGTTCTGAATTTAACTTGCAAAGGGAAGAGCTCTTTCTGAGCAGATACCCTGACAATTTGTGAACTGTCATCAGTGGTAAACTTTATGTAGAGTCTTGTTTGTATGAACAGAAGATGCAGCCTCAGTGACCCTAGAAACCGGGAGTTTATTGTTAGATGTCTTCACACAGTGCAAATAGTAAAGAAACTGAATCAGTGGAGGCAGCTTAGCCAGTGCAGTGTTGTATCATGGAGTACAGCAGAACGTACATCAGCAAACATAACTCCTATCTCATGTATCTGGCCATTCTGTGAACTGACGCTGTAGCACTGCACTCCTGAATTAAAAACTAAAAAAAAACAACAAAACAAACTCAATCCAAAATGCCAACCCTGATGTCAAAGAACAGGGTTAAGAGTTACAGAGATTCCACATTAAACAACTGTGTAGGCTTGTGTAACTGCTGGAAAGGGTACCTAACTTTGGTCAGGTCCAGACCTTGAAAAAATGTACCTAATCTTGAACAAAGACAGCATAGAAAGTCCTGAGATAAGAACGCTGTAGACTTTAACTTTATAATTTTATGACTGCTGAATTAAAAATATGTGCATAATTTTGGAATAAAGTCAAAATAAGTGTATCCTGTAATGACATTAGGTAATTAAAATAATGAAATACACACCCACTTGTGAATAATGGTTAAGGAGACCTCTGCAGATGTTGTAAATACCGGCTGCATTTTGTCGCCATAAAAAAGGAACGCTTGATGTGTGCTGGCTGGTGTTAGATGCCCAATACCCTCCTCTGCAGACCAGAAATAAATATCTTGACTCAGTGTATTGATTGGCCCTTTGTGCATCGAGTGAAGAACTCAGATTTGGGGTTCAACAACCCTGTATGCTGTGGTTGTCACCACTTAGTAATTTTTGTCAATCTTGGCTATGTTGGCTGTACACAGACAAACTTGTTTCCTCTAACAAACAGGTTCTCACTTTTAAGGATAGATTTTTCAAGACTATTTCTATGGGACTTGTATTTTAGGGATCAAAGGTCATTGAATACCATCTCTCACCAGCAGAAAGTGGTATCACAAAACAAATAGCTTTGTACTTTTCCTCAGTTCTTCCCATGTTAATTCTGTATTTCCATTTCATTTAGGGTTTGTAAGCTTTGTATATCCTATTTGGGTGTTGCAGGTTCTTGTCGCCAGCTGAAGTGCAGCCTCCTTGTAGATGATAATAGTTTGAGTAGAATCTCCTAGATAATTGAACTTGAATATAGTGATGTCTGTAACTCTGAAACAGCTTCTCTCTTTCTCAGGAAAGAACTGTGCTGTCTGCAACCTCATTGGGTAAGACCACACAGCAGGTGAATTTTGTTTAAAACTTCTGGGAATATTTGTAACCACTGATGAAATTTGATTCTGCCAAATGAATTACTATGATATCACAATTTCCGTTCCACTTTTCTCTGAGGTTACAAAGCTGCTGTGGAGCTTCTAGCAGTTGTGCTTCTCCATATGTTAATTGTGTTTTCTTGCTTTAGGGGAGGAGGCAACTTTAAAACCACTGTATGAAGAGCCAAGAAGGTAAGTATAATAACTGTAGTAATAATTACATTTATTGGCTGGAACAAATGATGATAACCTTAGCCTTGAACTCTCTCTCTGAACAGAGATGAAAATCTAAGGTCTGAGTTGTTCCCAGCGAGCTTCTTGTGCTGGTTTGGTGCCTTACAGTGGTTCTTATGTCTGTCTTAATAGGTGGAAGATTGCAGAATAATGGGTTATACCTGCATGAAGAGCATTAAAAAAGCCAAGGTTGTTTGGGGTTTTTTTTTATTTGCCACACTGGTAATGTTTGCCTGATACTGACTGATTGGAACCAATAAAAATTTGTGAACTCTACCTGTTGTTGTGAACTGGTTTCTGGCTTAAACAGCTTGCTGTAAAACAGCTCTAGGTTACTTTATAAAAGCTTCAAATGCTTGATATATAGAGCAGGGACTAAATCAGTTTAAATGCTAGTCTTGCAAGTGTGTTTTAACTTGGTGTCAGGTATTGCTAATGTGCAGACAGCCATTGACCTGACTGATGCAAAAATTTAAACAGAGCTAAATAACTCAAGTAGTAATTAGTGTTTTGTAAGTGAGAGCTAAACACTATTAACTGTGTACTTGTTCCTGAAATTACAGGCAACCAGTAATCTAGCACTGTGTATTCAGGCATAGAGAATGCACAGAGTAAGCATACAGCTTGGACACTGTTCACCCTTTTCCGCTGGATTCTTGGTCTAATCTCGTCACTGGCATTAGTCTGGAGTGTGACAGCATCAAGCCTCCATGAGGGGAAAAACAAGGTGGGGATTTTGGTAATATTATTAAAAGAAAAAAGTTACTGATTATGAAGGTCTGCTAAGGTATCGCTGCTTACAATACCTTACGATAATAGCTGGAACACAGGAGGTTCCACTTAAATTTGAGAAGAAACTTCTCAGTGAGGGTGACAGAGCACTGGACCAGGCTGCCCAGAGAGGTTGTGGAGTCTCCTTCTCTGCAGACATTCAAAACCCACCTGGACGCCTTCCTGTGTAACCTCATCTGGGTGTTCCTGCTCCAGCAGGGGGATTGGACTGGATGAGCTTTTGAGGTCCCTTCCAATCCCTAACGTTCTGTGATTCTGTGCTTCCCAACAATCATTAAATTAATGGTAGGTTTCTTCTCAGAAAAGTTAATTAATTTCCTCCATTTTTCTGTTGGCTCAGGAGTAATACCAGTACGGGGAAAATACCTCTGTGAAGAACTCATTCTCAATAACACTAAAGCTATTGCTGTAGCTCTTCTAGTGGGAAGTAAAACTAGATATCCAAACAGTTTTGCAGGAATATTTTCAGATCATTAGTGTTGCCTGGAACTTTTCAATAAAAGGAATAGGTTTGTCATCTCCCTCCCACTCCACCTGATAACGATCTACTTGAATTTAAATTACTGAAATCCTTTTAGGCAGAATAGTGTTTAGGCCTAGAGAAAATTAGGATCTTGTGTCCATGTGCAAATGAAATATCTTCTGCATAAAAGCTATTATTAAGGTCCATTTTCATCCAGAGCTGATTAGTAACCTCTTAATATTCCTCTGCACCATATTACTTTTTAAAATACCACACTTCATTGTGCCTGTTAAAGAGCTTGAAGGGGCTGTCATAGCCTGCAGTATAGAAGAATTCTTCGTGGAATGGTTGGCCTCTGTTTCTTAAGATTCTGGCCAAGACTTCAGCTTCCTCAGCGTATTTCTCTGGGGAGGCAAATCCACCGAAGGACCTGGTAGAAGTGAAAAGGGAGGGATTTTTTTCGGTAAGAGTTCAAGCCCCTGCTTTATATTTTCACAAAAGGATTCTTCAGGCTTGCAAAGTATGCAGTGTTTGAGCACTGCTACTGTGTAACTTACACAGAACTAGGCGTCAGGGAATGTATAATTATGTATACTGCATTAAAAGGATTTAAAAATACTTTTTAAATTGCTTGCAATTCTGAGAGCATTAGCTGAGAGCATTAGCTGATGCAGACTGTTGCCTGTAGCTTTAATACATGCAGAGGGTGCAAGCGTAGCTTTGGGTGCCTTCCCTGTAATAAAGAACTGCCCTGAAGGTCTTGTGGGAGTTTGGGGCTACAAATAAAGAGGATTACAAGAGAGGTAGATGTAGCAGAGGATGCACCCAAGAGGAGGTTTCTGCAGGCTGCATTTCTGCAAAACCAACTTGATAAATTCAAGAGTGCTGAAAAAATGACTGTTTTGAAACTTGGTCATTTTCCTTTGTTCTTAGTAAGAAAGATTGACCATTTGCACATCAAGGCTCTGAACAGCAGGACATATCCTCAGTTAAAAATCAGGTGTAAGATAGAGTAGTCCAGACTCTTCATAGATGAGCCCCTTTCAGTAGCTACCTTCACTTGTCAGCTGTGGTGGTCCTGCTTACCGGACAAAGATGGCTGCTGCCTTCCGCTCCTCGATAAACACATCCATGTCGATGGGCTGTGGTGGAGAGTCCTGATGTTCAAATGGCACAAAGAAAGAGATCTTGTAGTCTGCACAGCCAGATTTTATCAGGCATGTCACTGGCACAGTCATATCAATCTTCATTTCTAGAGAGGGAAGGGTGGGGAAAAAAGAGTCTTCTAAGCTGGAAGCAAAGGTGGTGCCTGTAGAGGGTCACAGAATCTCAGAATGTTAGGAGTTGGAAGGGACCTCAAAAGATCATCCAGTCTGCCAGAGCAGGATCACCTAGACTAGGTTGCCCAGGAATGTGTTCAGGTGGGTTTTTAATGTTTCCAGAGAAGGAGACTCCACTGCCAAGAAGGGCAGCCTGGGCCATGCTCTGTACCCTCACAGTAAAAAAGTTTTTCTGCATGTTCAGGTTGAACCTCCTGTGCTCCAG